TCATTAATAAGTTGTCCTAAGAAAAAGGCATTAAGTAAAATTAAGATGCGATTCTTCACTCGTCAAGCTTTCAAGAGGGAACGGTAAGTTCTTTTAACTTTCTCATCTAGGGTCATATCAGAGGTATATAGTCGGGTTAGTTCAAACATTACTTCTAAAAGAGGTCTTTGTAATTCTTGTAATATAAGATCGCTTACAGTTGGGAATTCCATTTTGTTCAATACTTGAACAATTCTACAGTATTTTTATTAGATTTATAGAGGTAGATCATCAATTATAATCTGTGGTTCCCAATTGGTTTGTTTAAGATAAGGTTTGAGTTGATCGGCATGTGTTGGATTTTTCCTAACTCTTCCGTCAATAGTTCTTAATTTATATGTATCTAGTCGTACAATATCATGTATGTAGAAGAGTCCATCAAACTTATTCTTAAGTGTGCTTGTACAATATTAAATAATAGGACCTTATCTCCAATTTGATAATCTATTCCCTTATGTGTTAGGTCGTAGCGTTTCTTTTGCTTTTGTTGTTATTTCATAATATTCTGTTGTGCATCTTGTCGCCTTTGTTGCAATTGTATCGTGATCAATTGATGATATTGTTCTATGGTTTTCGGTAAATTCTGTGTAGTAATAGGGCATTGCATCTATAAATCTATTGGTAGTGTCGCATGTCGTCCGTATAATAATTCAAAGGGTTCATATTTTGTAGTATCCTGTTGTGCTATTCGATATGCAAATAAAGCTGAGGCTAAGTAAGTATCCCATTCTCCTTGGTGTTGTGTTACATATTTTGCCAAAATTGTACATAGTGTACGATTGAACTGTTCAGTCAATCCATTTGTTTGTGGATGGTAAGGTGAGGAAAATCTATGTCGAATCCCTACTATGTGTAAGAATGCATTTATTAATTCATTCTGGAAGGAGGTTGCTCTGTCAGTTAATATCTCTTTTGGCGTTCCATGTCAACAAATGATATCTTAGTATATAAACTGAGCTGTAGTTTTTGCAGTACAATCAGGAACAGCAGCTGCTTCAACCCATTTGGTTAAATACTCAGTTACAACAATTATATAATGATTCCCTTTTGTCGTTCGAGGTAAAGGTCCTATATAGTTAATGCCAACTCGATCAAAGGGTTGTCCTACAGTGATAGGATGTAAAGGCTCTTGTCATTGGGATACTCCTTGTCATTGGCAAACATCACATGTTTTTATCCATTCAACAATGGTTTTATACATATTTGGCCAATAATATTCTCTAGAAATTCTATTAAAAGTAACATCTCTTCCTAAGTGTCCACTAATTGGTTCATTATGTAAATTATATAATAAAGTTTCTACTTCCGTGACTTTTATTACTTGAAGAGGCTTATCTGGTTGTCTTTTATTATATCTATATAAAAATCAGTTGTGTATGAGGTAATATTTTGCTTGCTTTTGTATTGATAATTGTTCAGCAGGTGTTGATAATAGGGGATATGTCGATTGGGTAAGATAGGAATAAAGGTTGTTATATAAGTCAATATCCATTTTATTTTTAGAGCCGTTGATCACACTGCCAATGCTTTAGCTTTCACTCTAGTTTTATATATAGTTTTTCTAAATCGAAGATAGCCTTGAGAGGGTGTCAACGTTTTAATATACTTTTCCTTTTCGATATTTAACATTATAGGAGAACTCCATTATTCTAATTATCCAGCACATGAATTTTCGAGAGGATCAAGTTTGTTGAATAACCATTGCAATACAACGTGATCAGTGATAAGATCAAACGGTTGATGCAAAAGATAAGTTCTAAAATTTTCCATTGCCCAGACAGCGGCTAGACATTCTAATTCTGTGGGTGCATAATTTCGTTCTGCACTATTCAGACTTCTAC